CGTGGACATGTCATGCAACGTCTGCTTGGAAGGTGTTCATCGAAGCACTGCACCGAGCTGAACAGCTGAAACAGCCAGCTTCAGCAGACACTTTGAACTTTAGCAGATCGCCACATTTCTGATAACATCGAGATGCCAAGCGATTTCCCAACGACTGCCCTGGTTGCAGGCAGACAACGCCGCATTACCTGAGCTTTCATCGGGAAGTGCTGAGGGGTCAGGAGTACATTCGAGTACATTCCCTTGAGGCTTAGGGCTTCGGAAAGCGGCTTCCGCGATTCAGTTTGCTGCCAGTTTGCAGGCGACAGGGTCCGGCAGGACTCCCCATCTGAGGCTGTCGGCGAAGACGAGCAACGCACGCTCCCACTCGGAGCTCTTCTCCTCAGGCCCCAGTCCAAGATTCACAAGATGGAGAAGATACACAGATGTGCCGAATTCCAATACAGCAGCAAAGACTTGGTGTGGCGTGGTATGCGTCTTGTACGGTAGTGGAAACGTCAAACAGCCATGTGGGTCTGCCTGTGTGTATACATGTATGTAACGTGTGTAAAGATAGGATGCGTGCATAGCCATGTGTGGCTTCCAGCTTTAGCGGATTTTTGCGGCTTATCTGCATGCATATGTGTACCCATATGTACGTACGCATACACACAGACACTTAAAGATGAGTATACAGATACGTCATGATACGTCTTCTTCGAGGTGCCCCACAACCCTATTCGTAAGGCCTGGAAGCCCTTGCCACGAATGCGGAGAGCTTCAGCAGTCGGATCTTACCTTGCATGCCAAGGCGCCAGCGCGCTGACCACGGCGCTGCTCATGTGCAAGCTGACCTCGCCAGTCCGCCACCCTAAGCACCCGATATGCCCCTAAGCCGAAACCCTACACCCTAAACCCTAAACCCTAAACCCTAAACCCTAAGCCCCCTGTATGCCCTAGGCCTGGAGGCGACCTTGCCGAGCTTCAGCAAGCATCCCCAAGGCCAGAGCCCAGTGGTCACCTTTCGACATGAGCTTGGGGTCTTGAGGGGGCCTCGTAAGGGGTTGAAGAGCTTATAGGGCTTTGGGTCTAGGAGGGGTCTAGGACTGAAGGGGCTAGGTTTTTGTGGTTGTAAGGGTGAAGGGGGGGAAGGGGGCTTAAGAGGTTTGGGTCTTCGGGCTGGTCTTAGGAGGTTAGGGTTGAAGGGGTTTTGGGGTAGAGGGGTAGAGGTCGTTTAGGGTTGGCGTTGGCATGCTAGGGGTTGCTGCCTGACATAGGTTCCGGGTTTTCAAGCCACCCACACCAGTTTCTCCCCCTGCCTCCCTCCTGCACAGCACTGATCGTGGAAGTCAAAAACATTGCGTCCGGGGAGACCTTCAGGTGTTTCGAAATCTCAGGAACGGACGGCAAAAGCAAGCTAAACCCACACGTTTGCTCGCGGCCATCAGCAGGGAAGCAACAAGTCGATAAGAAATCCCACGCCTGACAGGCTTCCTCGGAATTGCCTTCCGCTCTCTTTTCATGTTAAATCGCCATGTTGGGCCTTCTCTATCTGCGAGGTCCAGAAAAGCTTCAAGGCAGATCTCCATTGTGCTGACCGCTGCAGCACCTTCATAGCCTTTTCAGGAAATTTTCTAAAGGTTTAGGCTAGGGTTTTGGGTCAGCTCAAGGGTTACAGGCTGGTGGGTCGGAGGATAAGTCGGGTCCAGATCTTCCGCTGCAACTGCAAGCGCAGCAAAATGACACTTTTGGGCTCTACAAACAAATACTGCCTTACAGCGTTTTGCCCATGTAGGCTGTACGAGTAGAGATGTCCATGGCAACTCTATCGGGCAGTCAGGTGACCAGTGGCAAGGTTTAGCAAGTTCGATTTTTAGAGTTTCCATGATGCCACATCCAAACTGCCCAAGTGGCTGCACTGTACGTGGCAACATTCGGTGGCAGACCAAATTCTCGCATCTCCTTCATGATGTCCTCGGCATTGCACACTATGCATCTGGCTTTAAAAACATGCACACCTGCATCTGTGTCTGGTTCGCTACGTGCGATTCAGTGATGAGACACCCGCAGGGAGTGAGAGAGGGTAACCGTAAGAGACTTGAGAGAGAGAGAGAGAGAGAGAGAGAGAGAGAGAGCGAGCGAGCGAGAGAGACACTACCTGAATGAGTCAACGGCGTCTACTCAGTACAGGATGGAACGGGATGGCCATGGCGATGACATCTTCGCGTTCGTGAGTGAGCGCCGGCAGGTGTATGCATGGTATGCGCATGTTCAAACCTGTGGTGTTGATCCCCGACCCATCTCAGCAGAATTGACCCCTCAAGGCCCTAAGCCCCGCACGAGGACCGCCCTCCAGCCGGAGGAGTTCCCAAGTGCACCTGCTCAGCATCCAGGGCACTGCAAGCCCACAGCTCGAAGCCGGCCTCGCCTATCACAGAGCCGTAGCCTGCGAAGCTCAGAAGATGTCGCCTCTGAGCAACGGGTGACGGTGAGACGGACTGTAGTCAGGCAAGGGGCTACCCTGTTTTTGCCACCTCCTGGCATCGGCCAGAACTGCCAGGGCCTGCAACATCAAGAGCTTGCAACATGCTGCTTCCGACGTGCAAAGGGGGTTGTGCAGAAAGAGCCTCTCATAAACACGACGATCACGGTGCGTCGAATGTCACGCGGACTGGAGTTGCAGTTTATCGGCACGGCTTCCGTAGAGAAAACTGTCTTTGAACACCGAGATACACCGAGGCATTGATCCTCCGGAGAGCTCCGGTCTTCGGGGGTCATTCACAATGGCTATTCTGGCCAGAATGTTTCTTCATGAGAGATAATAAGGATTGTTGCACGATGTTGCACGATGTTGCACGCAATAGTCTATGCTACTCTGCCTGGATACAAACTCGGCCGACTAACTCTGAATGCGAAGTAGGATTTTCTAACTGGCGTCTCCAACTGAAGGCCAAATATGTACAATCATAAGTCTTCTTAAGGAACCAGACCAAACCTTGAACATAAACATAGAAACCCTACGCCAATCCCGAACCCGGCCAGCGGCCAGGGCCCGTGAGCGCTAGCCGCCGCAGCCAGGCCGAGCGCTGCGGCGTCCGGTCCGAAGCGGCTGAAGGCCTTGCAAGGGCTGCGCTGCTGCCCCTGCTTCTATGCTTTTGAAAGGAGTTCCGATGCAGATTGGTGCTTCTGTCCGCTTCGACTGTGCTGGTGCGCTTTCCTCGTTCACCGAAATGACGATCTGTCGACATGGGCATTGTAAAGGGAATAGCCGTCGTCGTGGTCTCTTATGCATTTTGCCGGAATTCACGTCTGTCTTTGTGCCGCGTACGCCGCTCATGCATTGCTTCGGCCCTGCACTGCTGCAACGAAAAAGAGAGCTCAAGAAGTGCGATTCCCAAGCTTCGCGTGCAAAGCACTGTGCAGGGACCTAGCCTTCTTGCCAGGCTTCATTGAAGCTACTGTGGCTTAATGACGTTTATTGCTCAACTGACAAAGCCACAGCATCGGCAAATGCAGCATTTCGGGCCAAGAAGCACGATCGTACCTAGGGTGCTGAGGCTCAGGAGTAGGACAACGTCGGCATCGCCGCACCGGCCACAATGTTATCTCAAATTCGATTCTCCCCCCCTCCACGTCTGGCCCATCGTTACCCAATTGGCCTCCGACAACTGCTGGAGGGCAACTCTCCAGGACCTGCTGTGAGCAGCTGCCTCCGGCTACCCCAAGGTGCTCAGGGCTTAGGAGTTCAGTGGCTTCTGGACCCTACACAAGAGAAAGAGACTAGAGACACTGTTGACGGGACGAAAGCACTTTGAGGCCCTACAACTTTTTTCTATGCTTCATACATGAAAGTTCCCACGAGAAGCGTGACAGCGGAAAAAATGATTCTCCGGGGCTGAGCTCGCTTTTCAAAGGTGTGAGGAGGGCTCTGGGGGCTCAGCGCAACGCAGCACCTTGGCGACGACACAGAAGGCTTGGAGATCCAGAGGTAAAGTGCCTCGGCAAGGAGCAGTTCAGAGTTCAGGTTTTTGCGGCCTTTAGGGTTCAAGGTTCGGGATTTAGGGTCTGTAGCGGTTCAGAGTTTATAGGATTTATAGGTGGTAGTGAACTGCTAGTGACTGATGTGCGATGGTTTGCTTTGCTTTGTGTCCTTGGGTTCTCTTCGCCCAAACGCTCAGCCCGGGACTGTGTTCCGCCAACGTCACAAGGGAGAGCGATGCTTGCCAGTGTCCACAAGCACCCAGAAGCTTTCCGACCTTGGAAGCCGTTCAGAGATCCGCATCGCTGATCCCCATGTATCATCATGTATCTCTATCATTTCTCTATCCTCACATCCCCTTTCCCCATGCCTGCAGCCGAGGTCACACTTCTCTGGCTGCAGGGCAGCCGCAGACGCGCGCGCGCCGCCCATGCAAGCAAGCTCACAGCCTCAGGAGAGGACGGCAGTGGGGCAGGCACTGGGGGCATAGTACGATATAGCAAAGGGCAACTTCCGGGCCTAACAAGATCACTTGGGGGAAACCCGGCAGGGGCCTCCTGCCAGGCGCTGGCGCGTGCCTTTGCATCCAGGGAATCTTGCGAGGAGTTGCATCGTCCCTTCAGATGCAAAGCTGCCCTGTGCCATGGCTCTTTGCGGCGGCCCATGCATAGCCATGAGGTCAAGACGAGGGTTGTTTACTGCCCTCTGCTTTGTTGCCATTGCTACGAAGATGGGAACCCGCGGTGATGCAAACGTTCACGGTGGCTGGTAGTTATGCCTCAAGCTGTGGTGGGAATCACTGCGCAACTTACATATCGCGACACACGGGGATATCATGGTCACATGTCATTGCTATCCTGCGGCAAACGGACGCTGGACGCTGGATGACGTGGCGAGCCGCATGTAACTTGCACATCCTGGCGGCGGCTACATGACTTGTCAACTGCCACATCTAGACACTACTTGGAAAAACTCTGGAGCCCTACATTCCTACATGTTGCAGCGTTTCATTGACAAAGCCTCGGGTAACAGGACTGGGCTCCTTGGTCGGCTGCACAAGCAGCGTGGCAAAGGCCCACGCAACATTGGCCACACCTCTGGGAGGTGCGGGCCGTGCCAAGCTCCATGGCATTTGGTGCCAGCATATGATTTCACTACCCTCTATTCTGCACTGCATTTATTGCATACTATAGGTGATATTGGATCAACAGGTTGCCAACTTTCGAGGGTGGCCTCTGGTGGGGAAACGTTCTCGGAGGGCGGCATCAAATGTGACAAAACTTAGAACTCACTGTGGCAGGTGGAAGGCCCCGACGCCAGCGGCTGTCCTATCAGTAGTGCCCCAGGAACAGCTGGAACGCGACAGACCAGCCGTAGCCAAGGAGCCACTCACACGGCTCCCGGCGTCCCGCGGAGACTGGACCAACAAAATGTGAGTACTATACTATGCACATACACTGTGATATTGGATTATATACTTTTTCGATGATATCTCGGTCTCCATCGGCTTGCACATCCGTCCGCGCATCTCTGCCTCTGCTTCTGCCTCTGCCAGTCTCGCGCTCACATGCTCTCACCTTCTCTCTGCCTTTCTTTCTCGGGTTCGCGACCCGTGCGTTCGGGTCCAGGTTTCGGTGACGTAGGAACATGCAGGGGAAAGGCTGACTTCGGTCTCCACACCCTCGCCGTGCTTTGACAGCCTTCCCTGTATCTGCAAAGACGGAGGGAGGCGGGAAAAAGAGGTAGACCAAAAGCGCCACAAAAGAATATCAAAAAAATGTGCTGAAATGCCCGCAGGCCTGGGAAAATGAAATACACACATAGACACAACATGAAGTACTTCTAGCCGATTTGCATACATATGTTTTTCATGTTCGGGGCCCACACGCGCATTCCAGCCACTTTTTCTTCGATTCTTTTGATTTTTGTTCATTTGTTCTTGATTTCCAGCACCCCCGCAGAATTCCAGCCGATTTTTTTAAATCTATGTTTGGATTGTTTTGATTTTGGAGCTCGACTGTCTTATAAGGAACGAAACATCATCAGGCTAGCATGATGTGCAATCGGGCCTTGTGGATCGGTCTGATGGGCTGCACCTGACCCGGGCTGAACTCCGGAAGTTCACTGAAAGATGCCGTGCAGTGGGCGACTCTCAGCGAGCTCAGTGCAAGACGCAAGGCTGCGTCCAACGCCTCGCAGAGCGACAGGTCGACCTGCCAGGCTTGTGTACAGCCCTAAACAGCCTACATGGAAGCCTCGGACAGTGCGCTGATGTCTTCTGGCATGCTTTCACACGCATTTCGGGAGCTGCGACATTTGTTTGTTCAGCATGTCTAGGTCAACTGGCAAGGAATCAACTGCATCATGGCCAGGACTGTACAAACATGGTGTGCGCCAGCGCTGGGCTGAGCGGCAGTGTGGCCATGTCTCAACCCAACAAAACACCCCGCAAACCACCTGAAGCCTGAAGCCCTAAAGTCACCCCTAAACGCTCTGCCAAGTAACCAACACCCGGCCGGACCTCGGCAGCATTCCTGAGGGCCCACAATGTGTTGGCAACCTCTCTTGCGGCGAGCTGGCTGGCCTCTGACAGACCAACGCACACAGGGGCCGGGGCAGAGCACAGCAAACAACATAGTAAGCAGCACGCCGGACGGGGCTAGTGGCGAAAAGGATTTTCGTGACTTTTGGTGGACGAATGTCTAAAGTGGGAGATATGACAAGTGCCCCTGTGGGTCACACGTACCACCTGAAAACCAGTGACAGTGGCAAGCTCGCCCCCCCAGGACCTCCTCAATGCACGTGGCCGAGATTGCTGCCGAGGGCGGCCGGTTTTTCAGGGAGGTCCTGTTGCGTGCGTCGCACAGCGGATTCGGGCTCTCAGGACACCTCTCCGGGTCATGGGAAAATTCTTCGCGCAGTGCAGCGGCGCAGGGTGACAGGGATGGATCACCGCCCCAGTGAGCGGCACGGGCCTAGATTCTGTGGGATGCGATGGTGTGTCGTTTCATCTACCACAAAAGTTCCCATACAAGGCTAATGTGAGGGACCCTACAGTAAGCCTAGGGAAGTCCCCCCACCTGGGTCACAAGCCTAAACCCCAAACGCAGAGTTTCCAAAATTGATTTCAAAGTGGCCCTACGCCGGGCAAAAGCCAAGATCCCAAAATCCGAGAAACCTCAGAGCCCCCCCTACCCGCCCACTTAATGTGAAAGTTCAGTACGCAAGCTCGCTGTGGGCACGTGGCCACCGCCCACGCCCTGTTTGCAGTATTCTGCGGTATGGGCCGGCCTTGCGAGTCGGCTTTCAAAGGGCTGAAAGGGCTGAAAGGGCTGAAAGGGGCAAAACAAGGGCTTCAAGTCCGGGGCTTCGGGGATGAGGTTTTCAGGGTTGTGATATATCGATCGAGATCTTTCATCTTGGAAGTTCAGATGAAGGACCCACGCGATTGCACCGCAACATCTCCGGCACAAGTTGCGACCCGCATTTGGCTGCGAGGGTTTGCTCGCCTCGCTTGCGAAAGAACTCGTCTGCAATGGCGGCAGACCTGGACAAAGGACCCTAAACCCTAAAAACCCCAAGATACAAAGAAGCAAGCTACGACTAGGACAGCACTTTCAGGGGGGCGGGGGACACAGTGAAGCCAGGCCTTGCTTCGGCGTGGGACGCGCCTCTTTTCTCGCCTATCCTCTTTTTTTCGCTGCCCTTTCTGGCAGTACGTGGCAGTACCAGACACTCCGAGGTCACTGGAACGTCAGTCGTTCATATCGACTGCATCCGGCAGTCATTTGGACTTGCTGTTCGGCTCGACTTGTGCGCTTATCCCTGGGTAGTTGCAAGGCCCTTTGATGCTTGAGGCGCATTTATCCCATGGATTTCCAGAAGCCTCTGACAAGATTGAACACAGTAAGGGGCCATGTAACTACCCTTGAACTTCAGCCTTGCAGCAGGAACTTTGCATAAAGGGCTGAAATGACCAGTCTGCCGTGATCTCAAGAAGTGAAATGTTCGAGATTAGCCGATGCGAGCCCTCACTCTGCATCAGTGACAATAACAACTCCTTCAGGCGCTGGTGGCACGTTAGAGCCTAGCCGTGCGGAGAAGGAGCCTTTAGGCTGTAACTGTACTGTACAGTCAGGTTCAACCAGAAGTTCAACCATCTGTAGGAAACTGCGGTGACGCTTGCTCAGATCTGCGACAGGCTAACGAAACCGATGCTGATGCCAAGTAAGATTGCGAACCCCAGACGGCCCGAGGAAATCTTGTGCGTGGCCGGCGTAGTGTCGACTGGCTGGATCGGCTGGGCAAGATGATGAAGCTGATGCAGCATGAGGCCCCGCATCTCCTCCAATCGTGGAATGGAGATGCCGCACCAGGGAACAGCCTCAAGGACATTGGCCTCAAGATTCTGGAGGCCCATGGCCGAGTGCACGAGCACCTTGTACTTACCATCTTGGCAAGCTTGCCTGATGGACCCATGACAGCTTTGCCATGTGCCATCAGTGATAAGAACTCTTTGAAGCAAGCGCCCGTTTCCTTCTTGCAGCTGGAGACTTTCTTCGCCCACGCTTTGCGCACGGACGAACTTGGCGTTTGCCAAGCAGGTCTCAGCCTCATGCATTCCGAAAGAGCTGAAGGTCCTGTACAACTCTCGGCTGCTGTGCGCCAAGAGTTTGCCTTCCCAGGGCTCCAAGAACCCGAACATGTCGCGAATGACGGGCGACGGGATCCGACCCCGACCACCAAGCTGGAGCTGCTCGGGGCAGTTTCGAAACTTTTGGATCGCCAACTCCAGGTCGCGGTAGGTCTCTTCAGCAAGCTCCCAAGCCTCTTGAAGTCGGCAAGTCAAGAACTCTTGAACCTCCAGGCTGAGAGAAAGTGGGAAAGAATGGGGGCTGGGTGCAAAGGGACAACTCCCCTAAGTAGAGAAAAAGAGCATGGAGCTGACGCTCTGCATTGTCGCGGCTGAGTGGCCTTTGTGTCGCCAAAGTTGATGGGTCCTCGGCCAATCTGACTCCAGCCAACCGAAAGATCTGCCTTGACCTCGAAGAAGCACGGTAGGATTTGCCCGACCTTCTGGGTTGCATTCCTGGGTGGCTTAAGATTGATGATCAAGGGGTTTTTGAGATGTGTTGAGGTGGGGATGCTCGTCAGGTCCAAGTCTCACAGACGACGCAATTTGCAAGTCTTCATCACACACGAACGGCACGTCTTCCTGACCGGGAGGAACAGCAGGGCGGAAAGGCTGGAAACAGCCAGACGTTCGCGGGCAACAAAGCCCCCAGCCCTGAAGCCCCAAACCACCTCGGCATCCGAAGCTCCCCTAAACTCCCCTAAACTCCCCTAAACTCCCCTGGAGTCCTTGAGATGAAGCTGGTCGCGGAGCGCTTTTAAAGCTTTTCGCGGTCCAGGGCTCAGCACAATCCACCTGGGAGTAGCCATGAGGCGAGTATAGTGCGGAGGAGTACAGGGCGAAGGAGACTTCAAGCAACCAGAAGAGAATGCTACATTGGAAGTGTCGAAGCCGATAGAGCACCACCTGGAGCGGATCCCATGCTGCACCTGCTAGTTACAGCACACACGACATGACTCTGACATGACTTAAGATGCAGCGGTGTCGCTGGACCATGGCCTCACGGCAGAGGCTACCTTAGTTCATCGTTGGGATTGCTGCAATATGGGCACAGCGGCACAGAACAGATTTGTGGCGGGAAAGCTAGTACGAATCATCGTACCATCATAGTACGAATCATAGTACGAATCATAGTACGAATCATAGTGCATCGTAGTGCATAGCCCAGCGGCGCAGCGGCTCCATCAAGACTCTTTGCAGCTGCTGAGGACCAATCGGACAGCATACTGACTTGAAGGTGCAGACCAGAACAAGGTTGTTGCGGCCTGAGACCCCGCATGGATGGCGAAGTTGTGTACATCTTTGCTTACAGAATCGTAACTTGCTGGACTTTCTTCGTCATCATTGCTCTGGTTCTGGCCCTTGTTGATGCTTAGCCGCGCGTGCAGCCAAGGCTGCTGGAGCTGCAGTTTGAAGAAGCTTCAGGGTTTCTCTGGGCCATGAAAATGTTAGTTGGACTCGAGAACTACATCCTAAACTTGATATCTGAGTCGCATAGCTCTTTCATGTGAAGCCGGCGCCCATCGATGTCAGTGAGGATTGCCCCTTCGGCACCGCGCAAGAAGCCACACAAGGGCTTGGCGTCGTCCATGAGGGCGTCAGCCGCCAACACAACACATGAGAACAGTGCCTGAGCCTGACAAAATGAACGTGATCGGTCGCTCCTTCGACCTGAAGCCCTCGACGCCCCAACTAGTGTCACTAGGCAGACAGAGCGTGCGCAGAGTTGTAGTATGTTGCAGTGGAACTAGCAGTATCACCGCCCGTCTGTGCGGCCCCAGAAGCCTGAGGATAGAGATGCTCTAGGGGCCGACTCTGCACTTCAGCATGTTTCAGCACCTCTGAAAACTTTAGCCAACTCTGGGCGCACGGCGACGCCTCCTCTCTGATCGACGCAGCGGCCATCCTGGTTCACCCACACAGGGAAGGAGGAGCGGGGGTTTCGGTCTGAGGGTTGGGGTTTCAAAAGTGTTTCAATACTTGTCGCGAACTCAGCCCCAAAGACTAGAAACAAAACCCTTCAACCCAAGTTCTCTTCTACAACGGCCGGCGGAGCTCCCCTACCTCGTTTCTCTTCCCCAGCTCTCCCCCTTTCAGCACGCCCTGGTTCAAGTACTCGAAAATTAAATATTCATGCACATTTTTTCTTGATGTTTGCTATCATCAAGGAATTAGAGAAATTCAGTCCCGATCACCCGACCTAATACGTCATTGGCAGGGGAGAGAAAAGAGTGTTTCCCGTATTCTGTCAGACGCTCGTTTTGGGGATGTCCCGCAGCAGAGGAATGAGGGCCGGTTGGTCATAAGGGCCCAAGGAATAGTAAAGCAATGGCTCTGTAGCTGATGCTCAGCCTAAAGATACCCTGTTTAACCCTCTGAAACCCCCCCCAAAAGGCTCGCAAAAACCCGTCGGCCTCCGAGCTCTGTTAGACGCATCCTGCAGGGGCCGGGAGAGGGGATGAGTGACAGGAACCAGTGAATTCCAGCCCCTGTACTGGGGGTGGTTTACGTACCAACGAGAAGAACTCCGGACCTGCGCCGAGGCTTCCGGGAGCCTCCCAGCAAAGGCGGCATGCGGCACCGGCGAGGCGCGCAGGACGGTAGAAGACCTCATGGAAGGGTTTCCTAAACCCTCGGAAGGTTGCCCCAAGGGTTTACCCTAAACCCATGAGGGCTTGGGAGTGTTTGGGATCTAGTGCCTTTGGGTCTCGGAAAGCTTGGTTTGGGGCTGCTAGGATCTTGGAAGCTTCTGGGCTTCCGCCTCTGCAGACAAAAGGGCCGCCGATCAAATGTTCAATAGGCGGAAAAGGCAGAAGCCCCCGGCAAAAAAACTAATGACCGAACATGAAGTTATGCTTTTTTACATGAAGTTATGCCCCTGGGCTTTTGAATGGCGACCTTAAGGACCAGAGCTTAGGCTTTTTGGGTACCGGATCAAGGAATGATCCACAGTGCAGATATCTTGCAAAACCTACGTAAAGCCCATCTATCACACAACCCGAAATTTAAATTGAGCCGCAAACCACCCAATCCCTAAACTAAAAGCCTCAAAAAACTTGTTAACTGTCGGATTGCAAGGCTTTGGGCCCGGGAGCTTCGTGGAACTCAAGGGTTTGCAGGGTCTGCAGGGTCTGGGTCTTGAGTTGAACCCCCTTGAGCTGGGCCCAGAGCCGGACAGCGTTCGCCGGGCCCCGGCAATCGAGCTCGGCGGCCCGCTGCGACACGGCTGCTCCAACGCCTTGAGAGCTGTGCACCGGTGTTGGAACCCTGAACCGGCTGGGCGGAGAGGGTTTGGAAGCGCGGGTAGCCCTGGAGAATCTGACGAGGTCCGCAGCTGGTAGCTGGCAAGGCAGCAAGGTTGAGTCTGGGTTTACTGTAGGATTCAGGGACCTTAGGGCGACGTCCAAAGTGCCGCGTTCTGCCTGACAATCCAGAAAGGCCTCGTGCTCAACCCGAAGAATCCTTGGCATCTGGCAAGCTGTGATGGGGACACCTGGCGACAGCGCAGTGACACTGTGACTGATGCTGCCACAACGGGTTCTCACGAATCACAGCCGCAGCAGCCAACTCCCACATGAACTCTGTAGTGTCGTCTACGGGTTCTGGGGAAATCCGAAGTGTAAACGCGGCCGTTGAGCCCAGGCAGTCCGAAGTGCCGAGGTCCCAGAGGCTGTTTGCAAGCTCTTGCGGAAGGAGTTCCTGAGAGGGCACACACTTGGAGAAGCTGTCAAAACCCCACCCGACCTGCCAATATCTCCACCATGTCGGAGCCTGCAGCAACTCCGGCGTCCGGTCGCCGGCAGCGTGCAGCAAGGAAGGATCTGAAGTGAGGTCTTGGGGCGGGGGGGGGGGGGTTTGAGTGGCTCAGTGTTTGGAGCTTTCAGGGTTTTGGGATTTATGGCAGAGGGGCTTCGGGCGCACGTACGGATTAATACTCTACGCGTTATGTTATGCCTTGCAAAGTGTGTCCAAAGTATTTTATGGTTGAAAGATGCATTGTATATATCCGGAGAATCTTGTGCTTCTTGTGCTTCTCTCCCAAAATTTGCGAACAACTCGTCGCATGTATTTGCGTCTTCACTTTGCTTTTTAAGCTTACAAACGGTCATTTCGTCCGTAGCGATGGATCTGGCTGGGGACTTCTCTGGCAGCCCAAGTGGCCCATCGGCTGCAGAGTGGTGGATCTCCAGCCGACATTTGCTGGGCCCTGCGGAGATCGTAGTGTTACAGGAATCCCGAACCGCCAGAATTATCTCGAAACCCTCAACACCTTCTAAACCCTACGGTTCCGAACCCGCTTTCTCCCCTGCCCTCAATGCAGGCTTCAAGGCTGAGCCAGTTTCGCAAGACGGGCGTCTTTTCGAGCTAAATAAAAAGCTTGACATAGCTTGACTTGGCATAGCTTGGTGACCCTGAGCTGGACTGCTCCAACGCTGTTTTGCGATGGTCTCTATCAAATAGGACAGGGGTCCGGATGCTCCGGCTTAGACAAAGCGATGCGCTCAAGCTTTGTGATGGGAAGCTTCAGAGCTTCAAAGACCAAAGCAAACAAAAAAAGAGTGTGCCAGGCTGCCTGCGTGTTGGGCATGGGAATCCAGTGCCGCCCTGGCAAGTTGGTGACTGAGTCAAAGAGGACGTAAAGCAAAACATGACGGAGAATAAAGGGAAATGACTGCCACCAAACAAACCTTGAAATCCGTCATAAAGCCATTGGAGGCGGACCCAGCAACAACCTCGAAGTGGTGCCTGCACGGCATGCCGCCTCCAGCGGGGGCTCACCTCAGCTCTCCCATCTTTGCCCCCAAACTAGAGGTTTAGGGTTTAGGGTTTAGGGTTTAGGGTTTAGGGTTTAGGGTTTAGGGTTTAGGGTTTAGGGTTTAGGGTTTAGGGTTTAGGGTTTAGGGTTTAGGGTTTAGGGTTTAGGGTTTAGGGTTTAGGGTTTAGGGGTTTGTAGTTGCACTTCGAAGGCTGTATTTAGATGGCTTAGGCTTTGGCAGAGGACAAAGCCGAGTTCAGCACCACGCCCTATCCAACTGCTTTCCTAAGAGTCTAACATGAAAAAAACCAAGAAACAAAGAACAGCATCTCTCTCTCTCTCTCTCTGTCTTGATCCTGTTTTGGGCGGCCTGTTCTGACACTTCAGGAGGCCTCTGGAGCTTCAAGCCTGCAAGTCTCTCGTCCAGGGGCCCAGAGGGCTCATGCGAAAACAGTCCCCAGATCGCTCAGCTACACCCTATCAACCCTCAGCTCTACCCCTTCTTAGCCCTAAAAACCTGCACAGTACGCCCTCCGGGATGCCGTGCGTTGAGCTCCCGTGTTCCGCTCCGCTTTGTTGTGCGAAAAGTCTGGGGTCCAAACATCTAAGCGCAGGTGCGGTCGGCGCCTTGGGGCAGGCTGCATGGACAGACTACCTCCGACGTCCTGTGGGTGCTAGATGATGCTTTGCGGCCCTTATCCTGCAATTGGCGCTGACACAGTCACATTGGCAGAAGATCTCCGATACATCTGGATGCCTTTCACCCTCGCATCTTCCCAATGCCTGTGCCGTGGTCGTCGGATCTTGCGGCCGAAACCTGGAACAACGGGCACAAGTTTGACACAAGTGACAAGTTGCAGCGAGCAACTCAAAGGCTCAAGGTTGTTCCCGCAAGCTCTGCGTCCCGGACTCCGAAATCAAGTCCACTGCCCTCTCCGCAGCCTTGGCATCAACGACCCAAGTGACAGATCCAGCTCTAGCTCTCCATGACTCAACGTGGTGCCCGGGGTAAGCTGGGCCAAGCCCAACCGAATCAAAGTCCAAAGTGCCGCCAACGTGGATGCCCAGCCGCACACCTGCGGCGTCCTCTGCGTGGCAACTCGACATTCGAAGGCTAGAGTCGGCTCGGCGACTCGGTCGGGCGAGGAGAAGAGTTAAGTTTAAAATCTAACAGCCCCACACCGAGGGTGAGGAAAAACTAACAGGTAGTTGACATGTAGGACAAAGTTGCGCAGTCGCGTTGCCAAGCACAGAGAACATGGCTCGACGCAGGAAAGAGGCAGCAGCATCTTCCAAAGAAGCTGCGACTAGTATGGAAGGACAAACATAACACGGAGAAAGCGCAAGTCAAACCCTGAACCCCCCGGGCCCGAAGCGGTGGGCTCCAAAAAAGCCTACTTACCCAAGCCTAACAAAGAAACCGACTGCCAAGAAGCCATTGAACATCCCCACGCAATGCCCTGCGGGGCTGTAGAACTGCTTTGGGGGGGCACTCCAGGGATACCCTGGGGCCCCCACACCCTCAACCCGGGCCTCGTCGTCCATCCTCCATTTGCGGGGTGCTGTGGAGAAAGTCAAGAGAGATCGGCCGTAGATTCGACCGCAGCCTTGAATAGGGTTTAGGGGAATTTTCTCGCAGCAGGCTTGAACTTAGGGCACAAATCTTATCAGGGCTTGCTCTAAGAGACGAGAGTGGCGGCTTCACTACGGAAGGCGGAGGCGGTTTCTCATTTCGTGCTTGCCAAAACCCTTATTACATGCTTTCAAGCTGAGAGTATTGCACACTTTTCAAGCCCACTTAAATGAGTCGAGGTCGATGCCTGGCAAACGTGCACTATCGCGCGCCAGTCAAAGGACTTCGGCAGTCTCGAGGGCTGCGGTGTGATTTTTCCAGTTACCGGTTGCTGCCCGCACCTGCAGACGGCTTGAAAGATACGATGCGGACAGCTTCGCAGAGCCAGCATGGACAGCTTCGCTGAGCCAGCATAGGAAAACGAGCGATATCGTCCGCCCGGACATGTTCACTCGACAGATCAGAAGTGGTAGATGGGGCCGTGAATGCAAACGCCTCCTCCAATGCAAAAAAAACCAGGACGGCTCTCGCAAGCTGGTTTGAGATACGCTGACTCGCCTCGCCTGGGCCGAGGAGCATCTGGAACAAGCAGACCAAGAGCTGGTCTCCTTCCCCCCCGGAGTCCCTCTCCTGGCAGTGGTAGAGCACATGCCTCTGCCGGGCGATCGTCGGCCTCCTCCTGAATTCAAAACATCCGGTGTGTCACGTATACAACTTCTGCAAAGCGTTCCCTTCTAAACCTCTCACTCCTCTCACAATCTTTCACAATCTCTTACGCACACCACACACACAACACATCTCCAAACCCAACTCCGGGCCAACTTGCTTTTCGCCTCGAGCGTCTGGTGGTGCCAATTCCTGGGGTGGTTCGGCTGTGCCTCCTCACCAGGAGATTCACTGCAGCTTCTGGCATCCAAGAACTGTTACTTGGCACGGAGAGGGCCGCGGTCGGCCACTCCCCATCTTCGCTTGAGGCCTTGTGGGGCTTTCTACCGCAGGCACAACGGAGAGAGGCGAACATCAGGGTGTCGGGTTTTGGGATGCGATGCTGCTCCTGGAGCACCGACTGTACTTACTAGAAGATGCAAAACATGCCCGCACTGAGCTTGATGGAGGGTTTCAGCAGGGCACGTCCTGCTTGTTGAAGTCTTTCAGGTGGAGGTACAAGTAGGTGGGCTGACCCGGAATCTGAGAGGCGCGGCTTAGCCGTGCGTAATTCGCCTTCAGGGAATGTCGGTCAATAAGGACCAGCAAAGTTCTACACCACATAGCCCCATGGCAGACTACACGACTGTCGACATGTGCTAACCGGTTTCCGCGCGCTGGCCATCTCCACACGTGTTGTGAGCATAAACAGCGTGGAACCCACAAACCACACCAAACATGAGTCTAAACTATGCTGGCGCGTGTCAGGGGGTTGTCGCTTTTCAGGTGGTCCGATCGCTTTACAGGGGTTTTAATGCCATGCATGTTGCCAGAGAAGCTTGGGTGTCGCTCTGCTCGTTGGATATGTTGCGAGCTAAAGACTACCCTTCCCACAATAGTGATGGAGTCTTCGAAACCACCCGTGCAGACCGTGCAATCCCTCGGACCCCAGCAAGAGGATCAGGTGTCGGGTTTATGAGCAAGGAGCCAGGGGTTGGTGGCTAGGATGGGCCAGGGGGACTCCAAAACTGCCGACGCTTGGGTGTCGCTTTGGGTGTCGCTATGAGGGTTCAGGCTTATTGCGGGGGTGTCGCTTTTCAGGTGGTCCGTCGCTTTACTGGGTTTGGGCACTTGCCGTCCCGCTCTAAGCAACTCGAAACAGCCGTCAGTTTTGACTGCAACCCCCGAGGCCTTGAACACTTTCCGCGGTGCGCCGGGAATACGCAACTTCATGGCCTGAGAGAGGTTCGCGTGTTCTGACAAAGCTCGACTCTTGCAAGAGCAGAGCGTCAGCACATCGGCAAGTTGAGGTGCCGCTTGCACTTGGAGTTTACGCTGACCGTGCGCTTTGGACATGGAAGCTGCAGCATGATTCATTCTTGGGTCCTCTAAGATTCACGTTGGCTGAAACCGAGACATCTCGCAATTCTATCCCAGCCGCACGTAATGATGCCGGTATGTCGGGTGCCCCTCGTAGCAGGTCCAAGGTGTAGGTCCTCAAGCAAAGGCTTTGGGGCACTCCGTGTTTTTTAAACATTGAGGCAATTACTGAAATCGAGGCTGAGCATTCGGGAAGACTTGATAGCCACAGGCAGAAACGAAAGCTCCGTGATGCGAGTGCTTTTTGTTCGTCTCGGGCAGGCCCATGGGGACCAGCACGGCACCAGAGAGACACTCCAGAGATGTCTCTCTGGTACCCTGCTGGTCCCCATGGCCGCGCCTCAAGGCAGCCCTCAAAGGGCCAACAACCGCCAGGCACCCCAGCCGGCGAGCATCAGCGGCATCGGCCGGTCCAGTTTCTCGTCAGAAAGGCACCGAAAATGCCCCAAAAAGGCTTCGTGGAGTAGCCTCGGGACCCGCCTCCCACGAAGGATAGCAGCCGGAGCCGCCATTTTGTGACCAGCCCCACCCCCCAGACCCCCCATGGCTCCGCCCCAAAGCCCTTATGGGGTATTGAACGAAAGATCCCTCTGAAAGGAGCTTTCGTGAGTAGCAGGACTCTTGCAATCATGCTTTGGGCAATGCTCCTCAGATCGAGCTGCAGCTGCTCCCACTCTTGGATGAGGGCGAGCATCTTCAATGAAGGCCTTCACCATGGGGGTGAACCTAAACTAAGCCCCCAAACTCAGAAGCCCCCAAGGCTTAAACAAGCGGTTCGGGCATTGCCACTCCTCTCACATGCTCTTCTGTGCAAGGTGATTTTGCTTTTGAAATTCTATGCCAACAAGAAGCAGCCTCACTCTAGGGTCGTTCCATGTGCAAGCTTCAACAGGATTCTGCAGCTTCAGCGGCACTTGGATGCTCTGAACATATGCAACGTCACCCTAGAGAGCCCTAAACCCTCATAAATGAAGCCAGTGGCCGAGCCGGCGAGTGCCTGTTAAAATTCAGGTGGACCTCCAGCCTGGGACTAGGGTTTAGGGGTTAGGCTTCTCTGGGTTCTCAGGGTTTCGGGTTTAGGGCTCAGGGGTTTAAGGGTACGTATCGAGGTTTTCGGGGGTTTAACGGCTTAGGGGTTTTGGGGGTTTAGGGGCTCGGGGTTTGGAAGAATTCAGGCAAAGCGGAGGATGCGCATAACATGATCAGATGTGGAGTGTGTGCCAAACCTGTCTGAACAAAAAAAAGAAAGGCCAGCTCCGGGTCTACTTGAAACAACTCATGGGGAGCACGATTGGCATGCCGACACTCCGTGACACCCAGACATGCTGTGTTTAGGATGCGATTCGGCTATTTAGGTGCAGAAGGGTTCGGAGGTAGAAGCCCGAAGTCCTTGTGTGGCCCTGATTCGCACAGGTCAGGGCAGACCAAGCGGCAAGTCCATATTCTCGGAAGCTGGATCGACCAAGAACGTAGCTTCAACGAGCTCGCTCAAGGCCTGGACGGTGGCGCAGGCTAAAGAAACCGATGCAACTCTTCTGGCAGAGCACAGCAGTGCTCGAGCTGTGTGCACAGTGTGCATCACCGTTGTTACGCCTCCAGGACTTCATTACTCCTCGAAGCTGCCGATGGACAGGCCGAGGGACATTCGGATCTCCTGGAAGACGCCTGGCCACATTCGCAACGGTGGAATGTGTGTTACCATATGAATGCCGGACTCAAAAGCCAGCCGGCGGACCGGCCCTATCGACATCACTTCCGACGATTGATGGGAAGCCGTCCTTGCATATGCAACAGCCGTACATGCTGCCTTTGCCACCAGGGAAGTGACACTGTGACGTGCAACATGAGCGATTCCCGGACTTCCAGTGCAATCAAAGAAGCAACAACGTCGGACCAGAAAATCACAACCCAGTAAAACGACCCTCTGAGTTATCTGAGTTATCTTCACCTTGGAGGTTCTCCAGTGCAGCGCAGCGGCCCAGAAGGATTGTAGCTGGGCCTCTGTCTTTGCTTCTGGCGGTCCATTCACGGGCTTATGAAGTCTGAACCCTCTAAAGCTTAACATCTTACCGTTGGGCCTGAATTGTTCTATGAGCTGTCAGGCGCCCCGGACGCAGCACAGAAACGCCTGTGGGGTGTGTGGGGTGTGTGGGGGTGTGGAGGGGGTGTTAAGATGCCTTTGGGGTTTGGCTGCCCGCTGGGTTTTGGACATACTGCTATGGGCGCCGAGAAGCTGGAGGGAATTCGACAGAAGAGCCGCATCCCAAAGCTCCCGTTCTTCTGGGTCCTTTGCAAATGGGGGTTCAAGGTCTCCAGGTTTGGCGATGCTTGGCGTTCAGGGTTTACGCACTTCATCTATCAGCTGGGAAGCTTGCCGCTTCACGACACCAACCTCGGCCCCAAAAAGGCCAGAGAGGATAAGCGAATCGGCTTGCAAAGCGGAGAGGCGGAACGAATGAGAGATTTTCTGGAAACGAGTGGCTCTAATGATGCTGGAGACTGAGTAGAGAGACGATGTTTGGGGGCATCGAGGGTGGAACATGGTGGAACATACAGGTCTGACAAGCTAGGGAGAGGTCCGAAGCCGAAGCCGTGCCGTCGGGCACTGTTGACACCGTGAGCAGCCCAAAGGGCGCGTCGCGCCAGCTCTCTCTTTCACCTCCACCACGCCAGCTCCGGAGCCCTACACGCAGCGCTTGCGTTCGGGCTGGCACTGAGCAGGGCCACCGTTACTCAAGCAAGCCAAGCAGCATCTCTTTGTCATGGCTTCGTTTCTTTCTTGCTTGAGCAACGTTACAGAGTCTGTACAAGGAGCGGACGGCACGAAGTGACCTGCAGACGTTTGGTACAGAATTCTTTGGGTTTCATCCGGAATGGTTGAGAGTCGTCCTACTTAACGCACTTCCTCCCAAGTGGTTCCATTCATTCAATTCACAGCACATGTCAAAGCAGATGTTAAAGTCGAGACGAGCGGTTGAACCATGGTGTTGACACGTGCGACTGGTGGCCGTGCAGGCAGACCCCGAACTTCTTGTTATTATTCTTTCTTTTCGTTTTTTATTCTTATTCTTCTTCTTCTTTGTTTTCTTCTTCTTCTGCTTCTTCTTCTTCTTTCTTTTATTAGTATTCCTTTTTTTCTTTCTTTTCTTCTTCTTCTCATTCTTCTTTATTGTCTTTATTTTCTTTATCTTCTTCTTCTTCTTCTTCGTCTTCTTCTTCTTCTGCTTCTTCTTCTTCTTCTTCTTCTTCTTCTTCTTCTTCTTCTTCTTCGTCTTTCTCTTTTTCTTCTTTTTCTTATTGAACCGGAGTTTCAGCTTTCAGACGGCCAGGCCGGCCCGTGCCGCAAGGCCTGTAGATATATATGCTCACCCCCCCACCCCCATGATCCACGTTTCTGCTTCGAAATTGGAGGGGGCCATGAGCTAGCGATAAAAACACCGACAGGGCCGATAAAAACCTATATCATTTCAAGTCAGGCAGGTCATTTACATCAACAAGGTAGAAAAATACCGAAAAACTCATGTTTTTTTTTGAAAACTCGAGCCGGCTCGATTTTTCCAAAAAAAGCTGACACAGTAGGTCGCCCAAACACCAGCAGGCTCGAATTTGACAAAAAAACCTAAATTTCAGGATCTATGGCTCCAGTAGCCCGGTAGATCCTGAAAGTTAAGTTTTTCTGGAAAATTCGAGCCTGCTCGAGTTTTCGAGACGTGGTGCCTTCAAGAATTGTCGGAAAATTCGAGCCGGCTCGAATTTTCCAAAAAAACTGACACAGTAGGTCGCCCAAACACGAGCAGGCTCGAATTTTCAAAAAAAAACCGAAATTTCAGGATCTATGGCTCCAGCAGCCCGGTAGATCCTGAAATTTCGGATTTTTTTTGGAAAATTCGAGCCTGCTCGAGTTTTCGAGACGTGGTGCTTCAAGAATTGTCGGAAAATTCGAGCCGGTTCGAATTTTCTAAAAAAATGCTGAAACCATGGCTGTGTGACCCCAAGGCCTCATAGATGACATACTTTAGGCTTTTTTTGGAAAATTCACGCCTGCTCGAGTTTTGGTGACCTGGTGCCTCGAGAATTTTCGGAAAATTCGAGCCGGCTCGATTTGTCCCTATGTCTCTTGAAATTCTGACTGCGGAAATTGATACAATTAGTAGCAATAGTTACTAATTCTAACTCAAGTGTTGAGTTTCCCATACATTTTCACGGCAAATATCTAACTTGTGAGAAGAGGCCACGCAATGGTTTAAATCCAACAGCCGTTTTGTTCTTAAACCCTTGACAATTAACATAAGAACTACATTTGTGAAATTTAATTCTTAAACTATCAATGAGGATATCTTCGGGACTAAAAATTTGCATTACATAAAAATAGCATAGATAATTTAATTACATATACATACCTTCAACTTGTATTCAATCAAGTAATTCGAAACTATATGAATTGTCTTTACTATTGTTCTTCTTCCTACCTTTCACCTGCTTAACTGCTTCATCTACTTCATTATTCTCAACTAACTTTCTTATCTCTTCGTAAGAACAGCACTCGCAAGCACTGCAAACCCTCCCTCCCACCAAGGTCATTGTTTTACTCCAAATGGCGATATTCGTACTGTTGACGGAGGTCGCCTCTCCGTTCGGTGTCCCTGCTTGCCGCCAGTGAAAGAGGGATGCCACTCTTGCACGGGGAACGTAGGGACATCGATATTCGTACTGTTGACGGAGCTGCTTGCCGCCAGTGAAAGAGGGATGCCACTCTTGCACCGGGAACGTAGGGACATCAATTTGTTGTTGCCACTTGAATGGAGAGGTTCATGTTTTTCCTGAGCCACCATCGTCTGAACTTTCGCTATCCACATCAGGGTAGCACTTGTGACATTTCCGAAAGCGTGCCTTCGGCTCGATCCCTACATGAGTCGCGACGTGCTTCAGTCCAGCAAAGGGCCAGCCGCACAGCGTCGTCCAAGATGTGGTGGTGGACTTAATGTCGATCAATGCGCGATGCAGCGCCCTGCTATCCTCATTCAAAACGAACCAAGGCTGCGGTCCTGTTGCACTTTCCAAAGAAACAGCCACTCCATCCAGGACAGTCTCGGCGTGGTCCACCCTGTCCGTCAAAATCTCAATGGATGCGCGCCCTGCCTTGTTGCTCAGAGCATCGTGAAAAGTTTTCAAGTCTGTTTCCAATTGGGCTATGCGCTGCAGGGCCTCCTGCAGCATGACTGTGTAGCCAGTTAGTTCGCGAAATTCAGGGTGCTCAGCGGTTCTCACCTGCTGCGGCAAGGATGAAAGGCCATCCCTATGCAGCCGCTGCGCAAGATCGGTGAGCGGCGCTTCAGCTATATACGAGAGGATAGCCAAAGAACCCCACCTGCCCAGCAATTGTATGGTTATAGCATCCAGTCCCCACAGGGACATTGCGCGCGCGCCCGTGATGCGAAAGGCGTGGCCAGAAAACATGTGCCTGCCTACTGGGTCCAGGATGGCTGCCCCTGTAAGCGCCACAGCCGCCCGCAGAGTCTCCACGACCGCGCCCTTGGTGCATCCTCTTCCAGCCTCGTCAACGAACAATGGGCCCGGTATGAGCCCTCTTTCCTTGGCGATCGCTCTGTAGCGCAGCAGAGTGTGATACACGCACGGCTTGCCTCTGGAGCACAGGCAACCCCAAGTTCTTCTGCAGCCCTTTGCAGACCAATCTGTTTTGGAGGATGGTAAGGTGAGAGTGACCGTGAACCGGTCCTCAGCAAACACAACATCCTGCCAAGAAGCAGCTGCGGCCTCAAGCTCTCGCAAAAGAAAGAAAACTGCAGTCACAACCAAAGCCAACGGGAAAATCGGGCCTGCTTGCACAATAGGCTGCACTCGGTCCTTCAGGGCCTCGCAAACATCTTCAAATGAGAAAGGTTCCGACCTGACCGGTCCAGCCAGGCCTCTAATCACTGACCGGCGGCACAGCCGAATCATGCGTTCCAGCTGCGGCGATATATCATGTCCTCGGGAAAGGTGTTCATCTTTGGCACGGCCAATGTAGTTGCGATACGAGCGGTATCCTGCAGCCTTAAATAAGGCTGCCACTTTCCTGACAGCCTCCGTTGACAGAGGTAACACTGGGACATTTCCGCCCACAGCGGACGCGTGGAACTTCTGATAAGTTGCCCACACCGCCTCTCTCGGACCGGTAGATGTAGCCGCGTACATATCGCGGTCCAGTTCCACCAAAGCTGCTGCGTAAGCCTGCGGATTAGCCGCAGTAGCCAAAGCGCCTTCAGCTGTTGCCCTGACATGATCCCGCAAAATGGGCACATCAGGGCGGCTCGACCTGTCAGTGCGCGGCTTGGACAGTCCAGCACCTAGACACGCCGCCTCGTTCTGGACTTCGCTGGCGTCACGTTTATCTAATGTAGGCGAGCGCGCCGGTAGGGCCTCACTCTGACCCCTCTGCGCAGCATACTCGCTAGCGAGCCTAAGGTTAACCCGGGGCAGGAAATGCACTTTGCGTTTGGGCATAAAAAAATGTTCTGCGGCAGCCAGGCGCTCAACAAGCTTTGAGATGCACTCACGCAGCTGCCATTGGGCATAAGTTCAAGCCAAAACCCTACAGGACCTGATCCCCCAAAATGACTCGAGAGAACCTGCTCACCACGAGTGGCTCGAGAGAACCTGCTCCCCACAAGTAACTCGAGAGAACGTGCTCCTCACAAGTGACTCGAGAGAACCTGCTCCCACAAGTGACTCGCGTGAACCTGCACCCCACAAGTGACTCGAGAGAACCTGCTCCCCACAAGTGACTCGAGAGAACCTGCATTGACAAGTGACTCGCAAGAACCAGCGCCCCACAAGTGACTCGAGAGAACCTGCTCCCCACAAGCGACTCGAGAGAACCTGCTCCCACAAGTGACTCGCGAGAACCTGCACCCCACAAGTGACCGAGAGAACCTGCTCCCCACAAGTGACTCGAGAGAACCTGCCTCCCACAAGTGACACGAGAGAACCTGCTCCCCACAAGTGACTCGAAAGAGTCTGCTCGCGCCTTGCTGATGGGATAGCCGAAACCTCCTGCACTGGACCTGCGGATCGTAGCCTTGCGTGGAGCGTTTGGTTTGTGAGCCGCGCTGGGTCAACTGGGCATTTGCTTGCAAATCTGCGCATGACAGCAAGATACCCCCCTTAGAGTTAGAAGACCTACAGTGGGAGGGGCTGCATGGTAGCCACATGCAGGCAAAGAACACATGGACTCAGCATGTGTTGTCACCAGCGGACGATAATGTGTGTGAAACTCTGCACGGCCTA